CTCAGAAAGAGCCTATTCTATCATATTCACGGATTAAATTTTGTATTTACTTCTTTGTAAAGAAGTTTATACATTTTGTAAAATACAAAGTTTGATGACTTTAGATGTTATGCACCATACTAATTAAATTCTCAATATAACTAAGACAATCCAAAAACACTTCTAATTAGATATTCTCATTATAATAAAATTAGCAGAATTGTCCCAACCATGTATCTTATTCTACTTGCGTCAATAAAGGTAATATTAAAAATGTTTATTAGATTGTGATAATTGTATTGATAGTGATAGTTTGATATGAATTTGGATATATGTTGGAACGAAAATTTATTTTAATATTGATAAGCACCAATAAAGTTTAATAACTCTAATAGTGACACTAACGCTAATGCCAAAAGTAACTGATATTGATCAAACTTTAATGATATTCATGAAACAACAGAAAATACATGTAATGAGACGGATACAGAATCACAATACTTCAATTGCTTCTATACTGTCTTTAATATCTACGAATTCAACTAATCAAAGTGAAACTTCAACTATTCCAACGAAAAGAGAAATAATCAACATGCAATGAAAAACAAAACCAAAGACCGTTATGTCATCGCCGTTGTCGTCATTATTGCTGTCGTCGTCGTCATCATCGTCGTAACTTGTGCTCGAGAGTTGATTTTAGGTTTCTATTTCAGATGTGGGAATTATATATACAAATTTTCCTAATGCCAATAAATAAAACTGATTAATAATAAATTCCTGGACTAGGTACTTCGATTAACAAGAATCGATTCTCAAATCGAAAATCGATTAATCAAATTTATTTAAAATGATCGATTTTAGAATCGAGTCTGTTGTCTTAAAATAATAATGAGCCTTATCAATTTATTTGGTTCTTCTGACATATTTTCAAACAAACCTTTAGTCACTATTTACGAAGAATACTTAAGTTTGATTGGTTCATTTATTTGACTTTTCCATCATTCTTAAGATCAAGCTCTACCCACCCATTAAAATAAATGTCACTATCCTTAGTGCAGTCAACGCTGGTTGCAATAACATGACTGGGAACTAATGATACTTAATGATGACGAAACGTAAGTGGCGAATGACGAATCGTGTGACGAATGACAGTTTGGCAATTTTGGCAAACTAAAACAATAGGTTAAGTCAAGCTTTATCAATTTTCGATTTATTTTTTTGCATAATTTTTACCAGAGGTATATAGATTTAAATCCTCTCTAAATGCACCCTCCCCCTCAGGGCCATAGTAAAAAAAACAGGCAGTGTGCATTTAGAGAGGGCGTTTTTTTACAGAGTAAAATATATATGTGTCTTACAACTTGGAACCAAGCCATACCATAAAGGTTTTACTGTACACATTTCTCAAGTTTTCATAATGCTGGCCAAAATTTCGATCCTCCATGGCCTTCGGCCAATCAAATACATGGGCTTTCTAATAATGATTTTCTCTAATATATATAATTGGATATAATAACATTTGACAAACTAACATCAAAGTTGTGTCCCCAGTAATGATACCTGATGAAACGAAAGGTTTCGTCACGTCATTCGTCGGACGAAACCCACGACGATTGACGAAAACCTTCTGACCAATCAAAGTAATAGCTTAAAAGAATGTATATCAGAGAAAATTCTGTCCAGGCTGGCAGTTACTTTATTAAAATATCATTGTAAAAATTTTACTGTAATTCGGAACATACAAACTGATATTTTGTATAACTATAAACTTTTTGAATCAATTAAATTTAGTCACACTCTTTTAAACATTTTATAAAGTCAGTTCCAAGCGTCCACATTAAGAGAAGTATAGAATAACTGAGATTAGCGTACAAAAAAATTGAAATTTACACTATTACTTTAAGATACAGTATAAATGATACGTGTTACAAAATGACTCTATTAATTATTATTTCTATATAAAATAAATCGAAGAAATTTTTTGAGGTAAAAAAACTAGTTTACAATAGTAGAGGCGTTATTACTATCGATAGGATGTGAAGAATTATCAGCACCTTCCTCTAATTTTTTTTCACTAACGTCATGGCGCTGAGCGTTAGCATTTGTATTTTGATGGGCTTTCTTTGCAATTACCCATACGACGTAAGTCGACCAAAGTTGTGTTCCAAAGAGGATGAGTCCGCCGATTGGAAATACCACGTTGAATCCTGTTACTATGGCTTTACCGTCTAATTGTTATTTGGAAGGAAGAGAGAGAGCAAATTATTAAAAGAACTCGATATGAACATAAAGAAGCTTGCATGCATTTTTATTTTACCTTTATTTGGCAATAAATATTTCCCTATAGTAAACAAGTAAATGTAGAATATGGTTAACGTTAATAGAAATTCGATAGCTAAATAATCATTACGTAATCTTATAATTACCCCAAAACACGTAACACCAAATGAGTGTAGCAAATTTAACAATGAAAACTTGAACGGCGGCAAAAAATAGCGTCGGTGACGACCAAGAAGGTTTTATTCGATAAAAAAATAATCCAAGAAAAGTTAATTGTTCGGTGCTGGCTTGAAACAATAAGATTAATGCCAATGTAAAGAGATCCAGGTTTTGACTATTTGATACACATGCAAGTATAAAATGAAATTCAATATAACGAATGAAGTAACAATTCAGTTATGATGGGAAGTGACTCAATAAACTCACCATTCTTTTATAATATATGTTCCGTAGATTACAAGCCCGATTGTAGTGAAATGATGCGCAATCAGTGGTAATCGCATCACAGGCCGATATAATAATTCAAATATATACCTAATAAAATTTTAATACATGTATTTGATTTTTATATTTTTATATAAAATGCAAAATTGAAGATACTCACAAATCAATCAAGATTAAACAAATAATTTCGCACATCTCGTAATCACGATAAGTAAAGTTGTGCTCCAATAATTTATAGCCTTTAAGTTGTAAAACTAAAGCGACTAACGTCCAAAATATTTCGAGAATGTATGTAGTACAATTCTTTAGGTAAAATAACGAGACATTGGGCTGAAAGTATTTTATTATTCTTTCGCATATTCGTGACATTAAATAAAGTCCGATCAAGAAAATGACGTGATTTGTTGTAAAAAATGCCCATGTGGTTTGATTTACTGTTGTGTTGGAATTAAAAGAGTAATTAACACATTTTTTCGATATTGAATGCTAGAAGCTGAGAAGTTTAAGTTAAAAATTACTAGGTTGATTTCGCCATTTCGCCACTTCGGCTAGCTGTTCGGGGGTAAAACCTCTCATCGACGTCGGTAATTGATCAGCAGCAGGCAAAGAATCCATTTTCTTGAGATTAGAATTACTTTTTATTTACTTTTCTTTGGTTGTAATCGAAAGACTGCTCCTATTTATCTAGAAGATTTAATTAAGTTTGCTAATAGTCGGGACCTATGGACAAAAGTAAAGCCTTTTGAAATTTATATGACTGACAGCACAGCCCATAATATGTCAATCTGTGTTATTTATTCCGATCAATAATTGTACATGTGTGATACATAACGATAAACGTAATTTCCAGAAATTGCTCATTTTAAATGAGCACAAAAAACAAACATTAAATGCATTCAACAATTGCACGGAAATTATTTGGATCAATGGGTTGGGTTTTACCATATCGAGTTAGTTTGTTACGCTTGATAGCTTTGGTATACTCACAAGTCGGAAACTTTCTCGTTATCATCGTTCGCATTCTAGGGATAAGAATCGATTCTCTAGAAACCATTAATTTAGAACGATTCTGAGAATCGATTAATTTTGTAGAATCGATGAAATCAATTCTTGGAATCGATTAACATTTGCGAATCGATTAATAACCACGTAAATAACGATAATACATAAATTGTGTAAATAATTGGAAACGTGCAAGTATTATAATGCATGTCAAACTACTCTGTGATTCAATAAAAATGTTGATATTGATAATAACAAGAAACTATTGCCAATAAGAGTTTAATAACTCTGACAGTGATATCAATGTCAAAAGCAACTGATATTAATCCAAATTTGAATGTAGCGGTAGCGGTAGGGGGTTCCAAACCGTTTTAATTTTAACTCGTGATCTGTCGGGTGAAGGTTCATTCCCTATAAAAAAAATGTTCAACTAATGTTTGACAAATGTCCAAATTGTTTGTTTACAACATTCATGTAACAATCATTATTTACTATATAACTTATTCCTAACCATAATTGAAGTGGTATTGATATTTTTATATTTTGTAATTTGATTGGTTACTCCTAAAAATCACAAAGATCTCGAAATAGAACAGTACGTTTATTCTTAAGTGTATAAGCTTCCATATATAGATGGTGGGTACACTCGGTGGACAAAAGTCTGGAATCGGGCAATGATCGACATACATTTGGTGTGACTTTAATCTACCGCGCCGCGCGATGAATAAAAGTTCAATGTAATTATATATTGGTTCGTTAGAAAGCTAAGATTTCGGGCTTTCAAATGAAG